CCAAATTGATAAAATAAGTTCAGAAACCTCATATAAATTAACATTATTCAATGAGCACAACAGATCCATAGTCCATGAAAGCTAAAAGAAGGGAAAATAATACTGTTTCTGCATTTCCAGTGCCTTGCAAACATATTTGCCACCTTTCAATGTGATTCAATTTTATTTGGAGAATTATCTTGTTAGTGGCAGCATTATGTCATGGGGCTGCTTCCCACTAGCAGGTATTGGGAAGCTTGTTAAATTGAGGGGAAAATGGAGCAAAATACATTTAAACGTTCAAAGAAAACCTGCTTCTTCCCTTCCAAAGATCAAAAACCGAGAGGAAAATTCACTTTTCAACACAAGTCCAAACCTACACTGGCCTGGATCAACTAGAAGAACGTAAATGTTTTTGAATAGCCCAATCAGAGTCCTGACTTGAATCTGACTTGAAGCAAGACTTGAAAGTTGCTGCCCATTAATGACCTCCAGCCATCTTGCTAGTGGTTGAGCAAGCTTGCAATGAAGAAAGAGTGAAAAATGTACAGTATCACCCTGTGAGCAAAATATCCAAAAAGATTCACAAATGTAATTGCTTCCACCAAGTATTGATTCAAAGAGGGTCAATACCTATTCTTAATATATTTTACTTCTTGATTTTTCTATAAAGTTTTTGCTGACTGCTTTGCGGAAATTTTCAGAAGGGTTCAAATTAAATTTGTCTGATAAGATGAATCATATTGTTTTGAGCCTTAAAAAATAAACGAACAAGTTAATGCCAAATGGCATTCAAAGATAACCTAAGGAAAAAACGTAATGTTTACCAAACCCCTTTGCTGAGCAGTTTTATCTGTCACTCTGGAAGAGTAATTTCAAAATAAGCAATTAAATGATCAAACAATTTATCACTACCACATTCAGCATCAATTACTTAATAATATGAGCCTATTCCTGCAGACGAATATGACATTGGTTTGCAAAAAAAAATGAGAGTGGAATATGGAAAGATTATTTGTAAATTCCTGACTTGTATTATTGATCACTAGTTGAAAAACGTGTTATTTTTTGTTAAAATTTCCAAATGTTGAAATTTGGTTTCCAACAAATGGCAGCTATATATAATACAGGAACAAGTAATAGGTTTATTCCATGCTGGAAAAAAAAAAGAAAGAGAACACAACGTTT